ATTTTCGCATATTAGCCACAAGATTCGCTTAAGAAATGTTCATAATAATTTACATCATCCGCTTAATCACATTTATTTTTTACTTAACGGGATTGTCATTTCTCGGAATCTTTTTCACATAAATATCATGCGAATTCATTACACCATACACAAATTCAATAAAAATATGAACTTATAATATCATCACATTCCTTATTAGCTTAAACTCACAAAGATTTAGTCAATATAATAATGATTTATTTGTCTTACCATTTCTGTCCAAAACGAGCAATATCCAAGTGAGAAATATTCTCAACTAAGTGGGCACCTTTGAGCCAACCAGAATTTTCACTTGAAATTCCACTAAACCTTTCTTTCTCTTCCTTTTTTCTTTTGTTTTCATTGCATACATTAACCATGTTAGAAATTAACCATAACACAAATGGTTTATCCAGATTCGACTTTTTGCCTCCCTTTTCACTTTCATTTTTATTTCCCCTCAAATTTTCAAGTAGTATCTTTTGTAAAATTAAAGTATAAAATATCCTTAAGATTGTTATAAATTCTTATTAATAATACCTTCATCACAAACATTTACTAAATTCACTAGAACTTTGTACTTTACCACGAATTCTTATAGGAAATTCTCATAGCTTGAGGCGTGCCGAAAGACACTATCCATAAGGATATTTCACCCGGTATAGGTGTATCCCCCAGGATTAAACAAGCTCTTCTAGTATAAAACTAGGAGCCAGAAACTAACAAAATACACGATAGAAAAAAATCCAGCACATGAAACATGGACATAGAAGAAATGAAATATTTTTTCTCTACTTCTTACGTGAACCAAGAAGCAAATCATTTATAGGAAATGAGACCAAATGTTTGCAGGAAAGTCAAGACTACAAAAGAAGGATTAATGGGTAATAAAGGATAATAACGGGAATGTTTTAACCCTGAAATTCAACTGCCAAAATATGGCTTTCAATGGGGGAAAATATTATGGAATTATGGCTAATAAAAGCTAGGTATTCAATCATAATAAATATATATATTTAATACTCATAACAAGATACGGAAGAATGTATCTTGACAATATTATGAATACATCTTTTTGAGATACTAGTGTAGACATTGAAATTTTGTAGGACTCTACAAGATGCGTTCAATTCGAGTTGGGACTCTACAAATTGTGTTCAACTCAGATAAGGATTCTTGGAGGCTACTCAACCCTAAACCCTAGTTTATGCATATATAAATGGTAATAAATTCCCTTAAAAGGCATCTCGAAAAATCCACAAAGAGATCAAGATTTCGAATACTCCATAAATTGATGGATTATTCAAATAGAGAGGTCAAATCTAAATCATCCTAGTTCGAGAGATACGCCACTAACGGCCCTCGAATCATGGATAAATCATCTTAGAGAGTAGAATCAAGGG